TGACGCGCGTGTCCTCCACCGAGCACTCGAAGAACGACGTTTTGTGGTTCCTCAAGGTACGTCATTCTAGCTGTTCTTTTGTTTGATACTTTCTTACTGACTTCTTGAATTGATCCATTTCCTTCCCCAGATCAATTTCATCTTGCTGATGCTGGGTACGCTAATGTACCAGGTTTTATGACACCGTATCAATTGGTACGGTATCATCTTCAAGAATTGAAGAACTCTAGCCTAACACCCCAAACTCCAAAGGAACTATACAATCACCGGCATTCCTCCCTTCGAATCATGATTGAACGTATCTTTGGGGTTTCAAAGATGCGCTTTCCGATACTGGCACAGATGCCTTCGTATCCTTTCAAAACTCAGGTTATGCTTGTTGTAGCATGTTGTGTTTTAAACAACATAATCCGAATTGAATCCGGTCAAGATGAATACTATGATGAATACTTACTGAAGGAGCGACTGGCAATGAGATTGGCGGTTGATAATGGTGAAGAAGATTGGGTTGAGCCAAACCCCACCCAACGTACCCAAGCTTCTGACGATCGAGACCGTCTTGCTGAGTGGATGTTCAGGGACTATATTGATGCGCCAGTGGCGTGGAGGCGAGTTTAAATGGATTTATTTAATAGCATTTTTATTCAATTCAATTTGCATTCATCTTTGTATTTCATTTGTTAACAAAAGCAGAAGACAAAAATTTAATTACTACTATCATAAACTTGTCTTACATTTTTTTGATTGAGTTGTAAGATACAAAATATAAAACTGAAATAACATATGTGTTTTTTTAAAAGAAGTGAATGAAAATAAAGATCTTCACTCATCCTCTCTTTCATCCTCTTCTTTGTCATCCTCCTGTTGAACCTGTTTAACCTCTTGATACTCATTCAAAACACCTGCTTTGTTCTTCAACCAGTCCCATCGATAAGCTTCATCCATATGGTAGAAAAAGATGCAGTGTCATCTTTCTTCAACTCATTTGCTACTGGAATGATATGTCGAGGTTTCAGTTTCTTGGCGCATTCCTTATTGAAGATCGCCATTGCTTCAGATCGCATCGGATGTTGTTCTGTTTTGATTTTAGCAATAGCCACCTTGTCACTATCATACTTATCCTCCATACCAGTTACTCGATCAACAGCTTTGCTGATCGATTCAGCAACAAGCTTTGGTCCACTGATTTGAGTTTGTTTCACAGTTGAAGTAGAGGCCCCTACCGGGCTCCTTTTGCTACATACGAATTTCATTTCAAGGGTTTCATCTTCATCACTGTCATCCAGTGCTAGCTCGGCCGCAGGAAGAACTTTCTTTTTGAATCAAGACTAGATGAAACGGTTGAATGTGAGGATGAGATAGATGGTTAAAAAAAGAAACATTGATCAATATGAATGAACAACTTACAATGGGCTTCTTCTTCTGTGAAGAAGAAACCTGAATGCATTCAATTTCGTCAAGGTCCAAATTGTCTGGTACATTGGAAGCGGATCAATCTTCATGCGGAGCATCATCAGATGAGATGTGGCCTATTGTTCAGACAGGAATGGTCAGCATTTGTTGATCATGTTGAAATAAAAGAAAAGGAGAAAGAAGAATCAATAAAAATACCATACCTTCTTGATCCTTGTCTGACAAATCTTGTAACGGGGGAGCGATAACTTTCTTTTTTTTACTTTGAGTTCCAAAACCGTCGTTTCCATTGGCTCAAAGATGTTTTTCAGGCGTGATGGTTCCAACAGCTTGATATGCTGGGAAGCCATTATTGCGAATTGGTTTTGCATCGACATTACCAGCCTGTTATGCAAAGATCAGCTTAAGTCAACTAGAATTGATGAGAAAACAGACCACTTACGACTTTGATCCAATGATCCCACCAGTCGCTGTCTGCGTGAACCTCACCGGTAACATCATCAGTTCCGGGCGCACCAGATAAGTCCTTGATCTTATCGAACGCCTTGTAGGTTAACTTCAACTAGATATTGTAACAATTCAGAAAGAAATGGTTAATAATTAGTCATTCAAGAAAGAAAAGAAACAGTCAAACCTTTTGAATATGATTCTTCGATCGTCTCAAAGGTTCGTTGACTTTAAATTTTTTGTTGTAGTTTTCGAGGACAGTTTTCCACGCGTCACTCTTGAGGCCGCCATCGTTTCCTTTACCAAGCTCGGTTTGATGCTTGAATTCATTGATTAGGTAAAGAGAGGCACTATGGATCCATGGGGCACCACTACTTTTTTCTTCTTCATCCTTCTTGTCTTTAACTTTGATGGGATTCTTGCTTAATTTTGATTTTGTTTTTGATTGAGATTTTAATTTTGTCTTAGATTTTGATGATGATGATCAATTGTTTACTTCTTCGTCTTCTTCGTCTTCATCGGCCATGTCGGATCGAGGCATTCTAGGTCCTGGTTATGTTGAGTGATTAGAAGAACAATCGGGATGATGGTGGAAGTGGAAGGAAGGGGAAGATGGGAGTGGTGAGGGGTTCTGTACGTTGAAAGGGGACTTGTCCCAAATTTGGTGAGTTCCGTACGGTGGACGGGGACTTGTCCAAATTTGGGAAACAGACCGGGTTGAGAAATCACAGAATGTGAATTCTAGTGATACAGAATTCACTTTGAGCGAATTCTTGGAATGTCCCAAGAAATCGCATTTTATAAGCATTCTGTGAATCACAGAATGCTTGTAAATAAAAAAGCAAACGCATTTCACAGAATGTGATTTCTGTAACTTCCAGAATGTGAATTCTTGTGAGAATTTGCTTAAGTAAACGGGCCCTTAGCCATTTCAAATTTTTTTTGTTGTAAAAAATAATTAATCCAATTTTTGGTTTCAGGTGCATTAGAATAAGGGGGCTCAGGTTAAAACTTTTACATTGATCCCTTAAAAAATTGGGGAAATTGTTTTACAGTACCGTGCTGTAAAGAGTTTTCCCAATTCTTAAATTGAGAAGGTCAACAGCGGTCAACAACAATTGATGGCTTTTTGAAAGCCATTGACCCAGAATTTGTTCTCCTCTGTCAGGGTTTGCTGATTATCATGCCAGTCTTGACACGTTTCCTTGCTTATTAACCTCACGCTGTTTGTGTACTCTGTTTTGTTTTGTAGTCATTTGGGTTTTCTCGTTGCTGTAAGTTTGCGTAAATTTGCTGCTCAAAAAAAATTGGGATGTTGTAAAACCTTTCCCAATTTCATAAAATTTTGCGTAAATTTTATGGAATTGGGAAAAGTTTTTTACGTTCATAGCAGCAAAAATTTTTGACTTGAGCCCCCCTAATTTCTACACATTTTTTGAAAATCCAGACAAGTTGTCCGTACAAAAATTCCTTCGTAAAACTAACGTATTTTTAATTCGGGACACCTAAAAAGGTGTCCCGCTTTAAACAATTCACGCATATTTTACAACAACGGGCAAGTTGTTGTAGCGTAAAAATGCATAAAAAAAGGCGACTTGAAACCCCCTAATGCACCAGCCGAACGTAGCCTATAAAACATACACATGTAATAAAGCAAAAATGCACTTTGAAAAAAGATGGGTGAATTTTGAAAATTGCTCCAGAAATTCAGATCCTAGTTGTCCGCATCTTACATCTCACTCAGTCTCCACCAATTCTGCGCACATTCACGTAACCAAACATGCAAACTAAACCAACTCTTCGACTTGCCCGGATTGCTTCGCATCTCACTGCACCGACAGTAGGGCGAGACTATAACACTTTGGTCACAAATGCCAGAAGTCAACCACATCCTAAAGAAATGTCAAACGATCACTCATCTATGGACACTGACGCCCCCACTTCAATAGTCAAAAGCATCGATGATATATGGAAGCATGCCAAGACGTACCGCTATTGGATGCCTATCCAAACCAGATGGTCGGTTCGTTGACACGATGATCCCGATTGTTGTATTGGTATTTGTACCATCTCTAGATGTAATCTTCGTAGCTGATATGACTATTCTTCTGTATCTATATGATAAACGGATAGGATAATGATCAATATGGACACATGAACAAGTCAGTCTTTCTGCGAAGGTTGAAACAAGCATATCTATCTTATTTTGAACAAAAATATTGATTTGATCATGTTTGATGGAATTTCACAAAAAAACGATTTCTTTGATCTCACCCTCTCTGACCTAGTGCATATTACTACCATCTCTTTGACACAACGGTTAACAAATTCCTCATTGAGAATTGTCCCGACGATCGTGGAGCGCCCCCAGTTGCCTTTGTGGTATCATCAAGTTGCACTTACCTTGCGCCTGTGGGATTTCCCACAACATTGTTGATCGGCCTCGCCACAGAACATGTGGGAAGATCCAGCGTACGCTGGCGACTTGGACTTTGGCCTGCTCGTGCAGCAGTCAGACAACCCGAGTCTGTCGAAAAGATCGGAAACGTGATCCTTGCTTTGGAACGTGATGAAGAAGCCGGTTGTGCTGCCTTTGGATCTTTTACTCATGTTTTCGTGGACTCAGTGACACGATCAAGTGTGGAGATGAATTCGAAAGTCCGAGAAGCTACTACATCTCTCTTATCAGATCCCAACACGTCCACTTCTTCTTGAAGATTGGGAAAGATCTGCAAGTCACCCTGTGGACATTTCTTCAGTGCTCACCTAGTTTCGATTACGCGAGTTAAAAATTTTCACGCTTGAACATAACCAGGACTAGCAATTGCTCATGTGTACAAGCTTTTATTTTTATTGTAGATCGATCAAGTCGACACACCTTCATTTTCAAAGATGATGTCATCCGATCATCCAATCGTCTATTAGTTGATTCTTCCGCCTTATGTTTGAGGCCTCTGCGGGCTGTTGGTTTTAAGATTCGCTCGTCGGTGGGACATGTAGACACAAGATGTCAGCTTTTAGGACTCTAGGTTTCTGGACGTTGTTTTATATGTTATGTGAGCTTTGTAAAACCTGTTGATGCATGCTGGGGAGAAATACCTAAGCATGATATTATTGCAAATTTTACTGATGTGTCACAAGACTTGGTGGCGCAACGGTAGCGCGTCCGACTCCAGAAATGGACGTCAATCGGAAGGCTGCGTGTTCAAATCACGTCCGGGTCATCTTTTTTTGTTTCTTCGCTACTGCGCTCGGAGGTGATCATGAATCATGTTCGTGATTGAAGCTGCATTAAGCACTGTTGATTATTTTTTATTATGTATTTTTTGAATGGATCGAATGTGATTGTATATTGTCTGATTTGAAAGTGTTCTGATGATGAGATATGAAAATGATCAAGTACAATCAATCAGATCTCCTATGAATCTTAGTGGTCTGATGAAGTTCTGATTGAGTTGAACATGATGGTTTTCAAGATTTGAATGGCTACAATGATTGATTGGGTATTGTAGTTTGTGATTAAAACCAATTGGATTTGACCTAGCAGTAGAGGAGAGATTGAGAATGCCAATGGTGTGTGTCATAGCTTAACTTCTGATCAAAACTAAACTTTGGTCAACAGCTTCAAAACCATCACTCATCATTCAACTTAAGCAGATGGATCGAACAAATCGTATTCAAAAGATTCAGGATTTACAAAATGAGATCGAAAAGCGAGAGCGGTCTGGGATAACTAAGTAAGTGGCTTCCTTCTTTCTATCTTCCTTACCGAGTTTTAATCTCATTCAATCCCGTTGACTTGTACCACTTTACTATGCTCTCACTGGGACGAGTGCTAGAAAGGAGGCCCAAGACATTACCGCTTCGCACATTGAAGCCCTTCACGAGGTATGCCGTTCATCGTCTCTATCAGACCAATCTCTCCTCATCAGATTGGTTCAAAGAGACTTATTGAGCTGTTTTGACTACTTCATCCTGGCCTCTTGACCATCAGTACAATGCTTGTAAGGTAACTAAATTCGTCTGTATGTCTTTTGATTTGATTGATGGAACCACACCAGGACCATATCCTGATCCCACATTGAAGTCATGAGACAAACTTCGTATCGCTTGGTATGAAGTTCTTCGGTCTCATCTGACCTAATTTGATCTGTCTCATCTGTTCAGGATTATACGCAAAGGATACTGGCAGCAGTGAGTGCGAATCGAAATCAAATACCTCTCACTAGCCTTCTCTTAGACTGGATGAGGTCTGATCAGAGTGCACCTTTTTGACAGATCAGCAGTTTCGAAAATTCAACGTTGAAGGAAACCTATGAACGCTTCGAGATCTCCCCTGAAGACTGAAATATTCCAGCAGAGATTAGTGAAGTATATTCACAAAATGCGTATTCGGGCGCCGAGGTAAAATGGTGAAAAGAGTAGAATGGGGTTGACGGAGATTGAGAAAAGTCTTACTATGTAGCAGATCAACTACAACACTTGAATTTCAATCCCTAAGGCCCCGTTCGGTAGCCGTCAACCTCTCAGGTTGACCCAGCCAAATGCTCAGGCGTATACCTGAGAGGTATTTTAAATGCCAACCTGAGTGTTGAACCGTTCGGTACAGGTTTTTCGAAAACCAGTCGAGTGTACACCTCTCAGGTCTACCAGCCAAATCGGTCAACCTCTCAGGTTGGCCGTTTTGCGAGAATCTGGCAGGTTGACCTGGCTATTGCCATAGACTTGCCCGAGGTCCTTGTTGTTAGGCTGAAACAGGAATTTTCAATGCGATGAATTTTCCTGAAACCCATGATCTCACAGGTTTCAACCCGGTCAAAATCAGGCTACCGAACACATGAAGTTGTCAGACAACCCGCGAGGTAGACGTCGTCTACTCGCGCATGCGCAAGTAGACGCCTCTGAGGTGTACACCTGCAAGGTTGACGGCTACCGAACGGGGCCTAAGGCTCTCTGCAATGAAATCTATGGTACTGATTCATCCTATGTCATGGAGCTCACACTCAAAAAAATACTCATGATCTATTTTCAAGGATTCAACCTCGCAACTCTTCGAGACAAAAAGACGTTCTGAATATGAAGGTTTTTAATGGGCAGAGCTATTTTGTTTCTTTTGACTCATCTTTCATGTACAGGAAAATGATTCTGGTGAAGAGGATCAATAAAGATCAATATTGGAAGCTATGGAAAGGCTTTCATCCCCGGAGGAAAAGCGTCCAGAAAGACCGGAGCACTGGTTTGTACTGCATAATCAGATGGACAAAAATCCACTAGTCTGTCGCTTGAGTGACACAACAACAAGACAACACAATGACATAATCCCCTCATCTCCGGCGAAAGTCTAAACAATATCAATACACTACATAATACAAGGCGGGTAGAGAAAAACAGCTTAAACGACTAGTTTCAAGATATAGAAGCGTTTGATGGATTGATTGGAATGGACCCAAATCATAATTCAATTTGGTGAATGAGAAGACCTTGCCTCTTGTCATGTGTAAAGTGGCCTCTAGGTCAAATCAGCTATGAGATTTTGGTAAGCTGATTTTAGCTTCTCTGTGAGTTGCTATGGTACATATGTTCTCCACATCACAACCTCACAATCATCACCATTCCGTCTGCCATTTTCCTATCATATACTCGTGTATATCTGCTCGCCTGGGGAATCGATCAGGTGATTCCATGGCTCGTTCCCGTAGTGATTCGCCACTGTCCGGGTAAAAGCTGAAAGGTTCATCATCACTGTCTTCCTCACTTGTAGTTGACCTGCTCGAATATGAACTGTCCGAGGGGGTAGGGCTGATGAGCCCATCAAGGAGCGTAGACTCTCTATCAGCGCCGTCAAATTTATTCCGCCCTTCAAGGAGCGCAAACTCCATGTCAGCGGCGTCAAATTTATTCGATAGTTTTTCATCAATAGTCAGCGGCCGATCTTCGTGTGTCGGTCTCACTTCTTCAACATCTTTTGAAGGACTGCTGGAATGACTACCTCGAGATAGATCACTTGATGTATCAAAATCGTTCAAACTGAATTTTGTTGTATCCGCTTCGCACGCTAAGTGACTCAACACCTTGTTACCTACAGATGGAGTTCTGCCTACAATCGCCCAATCGTTTCCATCAGCCAACTGCGGCACATGACTTAGAAGTACATAGAATTGAATTGAGACTCAAGAGTTTGTTTGCTCACCTTTTGGTTTGATTTGTATTAACGGAGCAGAGTCAGTCTTTTCTAAAGTTTTGAAAAGATGTAGATCCGAACTCGGTTTTGAAAAGTCTAGATAAGATTTGTGAATGAAAGGTGTGAGAGTTAAAAAAGGGGTTGGTTTGGTGGTTTCTTCCTTCATATCGGTTATCTTTCTACCCTGCCAACATGTTTTGAGTAATGATCTTTTGAAAAGACTACTTCGTCTTCCGCTCTTCATCTCAACTCCCTTATTCCAAACTTCTGGACCTTCAAATTGAACGTTTGGGACGGCTATTCCATGGATTCCGGGATTGAGAGACAACACATATAAAAATGTTACTAGGGCTACGAGCCTAGGAGTCATTGAAAAGCGAAAAAGAGAGTCAAATTTGTAAATGATATAAATCAGTAATAAGAGATATTGAACACAATTGATTTCTAAGATAACCAATGAGGTTTACAATCATCTTTTGAACTGAACATTCAAAAGATTTATTTGTTTTCTTTTATAGTGATGAGCTACTTATCATACCGGCATGTTCGGCGTAGAGTAAACATCTTATGGTGCATGTTACATCGGAAGTGTTACTCCGGAAAGTGTGGACGGGTACGGACGGAATGACATCAACATCAATCAAATTAACTTACGTAAAGATGATCTCAAGCGTTAACCTGTTCTGAAGAGTTTGGTGCCGGAGTTAGGGACTTACACGTGGGCAAGTTATAACCCTGGGTTTGCTGCGCCAAGATCAGCGTTACTGAGCGTTTGCGTAACGTGTTTTGTTATCCAGTTGCGCTCTTAAAAGTGTGGGCTTTGTAGCGTGGGTGGGAGCGGCGCAAACAATAATTGACCAGTTTCAGCCTTTGATTTTATATGATCTCATTCAAAGGCATCTCTCAATCATTAATGACCATTCTCATGAAGCCACCTTGGAGAATCTCCTGATTACACTCTCCACTTTATATCTTACATCCAACCAAGAAATGTGATTTGTTTGATAAGTAATTATACAAACCCCACTCTCAAGTGTTACAGAAACACGGAGACGATCAATACCAGCAAAAATTCGTATGATAAGGAACTAAAGCTAAGTTGACCTTGCCTGATCTTGCTTTGTTAAGTTAAGTTGTAACTTCCTTCCAATGTCTTTTATCAAATCCAAATTCAAGATGTGAAACTTTTTCAATTCTGAACCAAAGCCTTTACTCTTTTCTTTCCAGTCAACAACAGGAAAAAAACAATTCACTCAAATTTTCATTTATGTTTGAAAAATAATATCAAAATCCTGCCAAGGAATAGAAAAAGATTTTTCAAAGTATCATAAGAAGAGAAAATATCCTGAAGATCATTTTGAATGATATTTCATTCCCTGAGTTATATATATATATATATATTGTTGTAATAATTATATACATATGTATATTTGTGATAATTATATATATATATTTGCAATAATTATATACATTTGTAATGATTATATATATATATTGTTGTAATAATTATATATATATATATATGGTATTCAAAACTATCATGTTCAACCCACCTTTTTAAAAAAAAAACCTACTTTTAAAATGACAATCTAATAGAGAAAAAACCCAAACTCTAACCCAATCTTATAATTTATTTTCTTCCCGCCGAAAAGAAAAAACCCAACCTTCAATCAAAATTCAAGTACAGTAGATTTCAAAATGCTTGAAATCTTCTCATTCCAAAAATGAGAAGCCGGCCCGTGCGCGGCGCAGCACCGGGCCAAACTATAGTGACGGCCTGTCAAGTATTCATTCTCCAACTACGGATGATCTGCAGAAGATCATCCATCTCGTCGTTTTTTTTTCTTTTCCTCGATTCCGGTATTTCATTTTTCTGGTTGGGGTAGGAAGCTTAATTTCTCCCCTTCTCCCTTCCCCATCCATCGGTCGAAATACCCTGGTCTTCCTTCAATCCGTCTCCCGAATCCAAATGGTTTTCGTCGCATACTCAGAAGATATCAAGCTCTTGGCTACCCAGTTGGCCGAGGACAATGTTCCTCTCGC